TCTCCCTGCTAGGGGCCACAGCACCTGTCTTGACAGTAGCCCCTCCAGCCAACAGAGAAAGCCACCAATGCTTCCATGTCCTCCAGAGTCCTCTGAAGAGCTGGCACCGGCAGGGCCTCAGGGGACCCCCTGCTCCCCAGCAGCTCTGTGACTTTGCAGCCTTCTTTTTTTAAATCTCAATATTCTTTGGGCTGGGGACCGACCTCAGTGGGAGAACATTGTCCGGCAAATCCTAAGCCCGACATTTACTTCCAGCCCTTCTAACAAAACAAAGGCAATCTGAAATTCTTTCAAGGGCTGAGGATGGAGCTCAGTGGGAGAGTTCAGGCCTAGCAAGTGTGAAGCCCTGGGTTCCACCCCCAGCTCTGCACACACAAAAATCTCATCAGTATTTCAAATTCAATATGTACCTATCTATAAGAAGCCATGTCTATATATTTTAGGAAGAATTAAACAGTTATTGCAGAAGCTGCCGGGGGCACTCCACAGTGGGCCACAGGTGTAACTAAGCAAAGCCAGGGGTCAACTGCAAGGTCTGACTGGCATCATTGAAGATGACGTGACCATTACGCAGGTGCTTTGGAAATAACTAGGTGTGTTCAAATCCAAGACGTAGACACCCAGATGTAATAAGGAGGTGTAAATAATTAGACTAAAATTGTCATCCCCGGAAGGGGAGCTCCGTTCATGTCCCCTGGAGGCTGCCTCCACCTTGGGAGCCTCCTTGCAGAGCTCAGGGCGCAAGAGGAGGAGGAGAGGGTGTAGCAGGGCCCTGGTTTCCCCCATACACAGGTGTGAGGTTGAGGAGCCAAGATACTAAGCAAGATGCTTTAGCTCCCCAATATGGACTAAATTGTGAGCTTAATTAGCCTATATGGTTAGGAAGAGTTCCTATTAAAAAGGTCATTTGAAACCCCGGGACCTTTGTGTCAGGTGGAAGAGTTTGGGGATGCTGAGACCCTTGAAGACCAAGGTCAGTGCCTTGAACCCACAAGAAAAATTAAAAACCAAAGTGGAAATCCACAATTCCCAGGAAGCCCAAAGTTGTGCCTATTTGTAGGCCCCATGTGACTCTAGGACCTGGGGAGGACAAAGGCCTTCTAGATGGCTGGTGGCCATGCAAAGTCTTTGTCAAGGAGGGTCTGGGCCCAGGAAATTCAGAGCAACCTAGGAAACAGCATGAGAGGCTGTGTCACAAGAAGAAGGAAAAGGAGGAGGAGGAGTTGGAAGAGAAGGAGTGGGAGGGGGAAAGAGGAGGAGGAGGAGAATAAAGATGAGTGAATAATAACTTCAAAAACATCATCTAATTCCTTTTATGCTTAGTCCATCTCCTGCCTAGGCTGACGTCCTGGGCACACACCCTGTGCACTCACAGAAGCCTCTGACCTCCAAGGGACTCAGCCTTGGTTGAAAAACCTGCTGTTGCACTCTTGAAATGTTGAGTCGTTTTTGAAGAAGAGGCCTTTCATTTTAATTTTGTCCTGGGCCCTGCAAATACATAGCTTATCCTGATTTCTATAGCTAGAGAGCCGCACCCTGGGAATTCCATGCAAACTGAGAACATACCACACTCCTGGGCTTCTCTTTTATGCTTCAGAGTGTTTGACATATGTTACAAGTCATTCAATGGTTACATTGATAGGTTCTCCCAGGAGCTCAGGAGGCTGAAGCAGGAGGATCTCAAGTTCAAAGCCAGCCTCAGAATATTAGAAAGGCCCTAAGCAACACAGCAAGACCCGGGTCCAAATAAAATGTGCTAGGGATGTGGCTCAGTGGTAGGTGCTCCTGGGTTCAATCCCTGATACCGCCCCCCCCCCCCCCGCCAAACTAAAATAAAATTCAACTAGCTTTTCTGAAAGGGACAGAAGCTAAATCTGCCCAGCTTTTCAGACACGTGGCATCTGTTGGGAAAACCCAGTTCTGCATTGATAGTAGAAAATTAACCACGGACCTGAGGCACCCAAAGCCAGAGGCTGTATTCCAATAAAGTTCATGTGTGGAGACTGAGTTTGGAAAACCAGGTCCTTTGCAGGTATCACACACCCCTTCTCTGTCTCTGTCAGACACTTAAGTGTGTAAGCGTCAGGGTCACCATGTGAGTGGTCCAGGCTGGACCTGGCCCTCAGGCCGTGGGGTGCTGAGCCTGGGGTGCCCATCCTGTGTCTCACACTCAGCACACAGTAGGCCTTCAGGGCAGGGCCCTTCATTCCTCAGCTCTGACCTCCAGGTCACAGGGAAGGAAGGAGGAGATGGTCCCCCCACTGCCCCTGGCAGCCTCTGGAGCAGGGGGCTGCCTTCCTGCACCTTCCAGCTCCTGATGCAAATGCCCTCTGCCTCTCCCCTGCAGCTGCTCTCCTCCCAGCAGGTCTGGCCCAACCGGGGCCCTGAGTGGGGGGCCCTGAGTGGGGGGGGCAGCCCCTCCCCCTCCAGGCTGCCCTCCCCCCTGCACACACTCCCCTCCCCCAGCTTCATCTGGCTCATGGACAAGTGGGGGCAGGAGAGGTGGGATAGACAGACAAGCAAGGCCAAGTGTCTTCCCCTGGCCAGGGCCCTCTGGGGATCCCTCTAGCTGTTGGTGGTCCTCGGTCCTGAAGGGCATCCGTAGCTCTCCACTTGAAGTACTTTTTGGGAGCCTTTGGGAACCCCTCTGGGGTCCTCTGTTCTGCAGGTACCTCTTACATGGGTGATGCACCCTGACTTCTTCAGACTCCCCACCCAGCATGGCTTGGCCTCCCATGGCGCACCTCCAGCCCCACTCCACCACCTTGCCTGGCCCTGCAGTGGATTTTCCGAGCCCCAGACAGTGACTCCATCCTGTTCCTCTTGGAAACCTCCTTTGGCCCCAGGAAGGTGACCTGGCATGCCATCCTCTCTCGAACCCTAGCTGCTACTCTTCTGGTGGGAGCCCTGAGAAGGTCTTTGACTGGGGAGCATCCAGCCAGGGGCAGCCGTGCCAGTCTCCCCTCTCACAGACACCTCTGCCCTCTGATTCTATCAGTTCTGTACCTGGCTTGAGGTGCCAGGCAAACATCACTCCAGATACATAGCTCTGCTATGGAATGGGCACCATCTGATCCTCTTGGCCCCTCTGCCCACACCCCGACTGGCTGTGCTGCTGCATATGCACAAGAGCCCACCCCTCTGCAGGCCCACCCCTGCCGGCCCTCTAACCCTCTTAGGGAATCCCAGGCTGGCCCTCCACCACCCACTGGGGTCATGGTGCCCTGACCAGGTCACCTCCCCAGCAGGACCTGCAAGAGTGCAGCTAAATACGTACCAATTGTTGGTTTCCAAATAGGAAAATATCTCCAAATATCAGGAGATCCTGAGTTTGGTACCACTGTGATCCAGCTTGACAAGAGTTACTGTATCAGGGGCTGTGTCCAAGGTGGGTTGAAAAGAGACAGGATTCAGCATCCTGTTAGTTACTTGAGTATCTTTAGTCAGTCACTTTACATTTTCCATTCAGGTTATTTTGATCTGACTCTGCGCATCTTGGTATCTTCAGATTTTCTGCAATATTCATAGAACAAGGAATAAGAAGTAGCCAATCTTCAACATCCCTGTAGCCAATATCCCTGGAAAGGATATTTCCATTTCTACTGTCTTGGTTTCCTGGGGCTACTGTACCCCATCCCCTCCAGAGTGAGGGGCTTAAACAACAGAAATGTGTTTTCTCATAGTTCTGCAAGTTGAGTTCAAGACCAAGGTGCCAGCGATGCCGATTCTTCTGAGCCTTCCTCCAACCTTTCCATTAGCATACAGGTGTCCCCTGCCTGTCCTCCCAGGGTCTTAACTCTGTGCACATCTGCATCCTAAACTCCTCTTTCTATAGGAACCCAGTCTGATGGGATTAGGACCCATCCTGCCTTGTTAAGCAGCCCTTATTACTCATCCCCCTGACAGCGCTAGTTGCTGGACTCTATTGCCTGGAAGCATGAGAATCACACCTCTCCATGCAGGGCATCTCCTGGCTCAAACACTTTCCCCGACAGGCTTCTTCCTGTTAACCCAGCCTCAGCTTAAACTGAGAGGCCTTCCCCTGACCACCCAATCAACCAGTCCCCACCATAGTGTCTAGTGATCAAGGCAGGTGATAGCCATGTTCCTTTGTAACACATACTTACCACCCATCTGCAGACACCAGGAAGCATCACCTAAGGATGCTCACAGCAGTCACTCATGGGTCCTACCTTTGGCTTGAGAAAATGCATATGCACAGGCCTACCAACATCCGACATCCATGTCACTATGCCCCATACCATTTGTGCTGCTTTTTCATGAAATTCACATAAGTAAAGGTGTAGGCACATGTCAGGAATCCCAGCAGCTCGGGAGGCTGAGGCAGGAGGATCTCAAGTTCAAAGTCAGTCTCAGCAACTTAGTGAGAGGCCCAAAGCAATTCAGCGAGACTCTGTCTCAAAATATATAATAATAAGGACTGGGGGATGTGGCTCAGTGGTTAAGCCCCCCCTGGAATCCATCCCTGGTACAAAAAAAAGAGTCAAAGTTTGAATGGTTTATTTCAAAGAAATATTCTGAAATTATATTATAGCATATTATATTATATTATTCATCATAGCCTATCCTGAGCTCTTGTTGAATATGGAGTTTTTCAAGCTCATATATAAAAGTAAGGATGACTCTTGCTTTTCTCACTCTCTGATTATGTCTTGAGAACATTTTTAAATAGAGAATAGAAAAAAAAAAGTCCATGTTTCAAAAGTGGTAATGAACAAGAGCACATTCTCCTCCTTCTTCTTCTTCTTCTTCTTCTTCTTCTTCTTCTTCTTCTTCTTCTTCTTCTTCTTCTTCTTCTTCTTCTTCTTCTTCTAAATGCTTATCTACAATGAGAAATGTTACCTGTTCCTTTTTCTAAAGTGCAAACACGGTAAACATAGATGGACTACCAATTTAAGGTCTGGGAATTCTGTGTAACACACCTGTAGCAGGCATTCCGGCGCATTGGGAAGCGGTTGGGGGTCATTATCTCAAACATAAAAGAGCATGCGTTCATGACCTTCCACAGGGACCAAGAGGCTGGGAAAGAGGGACAGGATCTACGGAAATACCCTGGAGTTAATATCAGATTGTTCTCAGTAAGTCAATTAAAGTGCTGTTTTGTTTTTTTTTTCATAGAAGAGCAGGTTGGGAAACCCAGAAAAGCTGTGATCCAAACACAGCCCCCCTTCCAAAGAAGACGGCCCCCGCGCCCCCTGGAAATTGGAGCTCCTTTCTACCAAGACAACCAGCTGCAAGTCAAGGTCTACTGGAAAAAGACAGAAGGTAGGCCAGGAGTTTTTGCTTCATTATTACTTGTGTTAAATTGCACAGTGATATAAATAAATATAATTGTTTTTATAATAGCGATTGAACTCAGGGGCCCTCGACCACTGAGCCACCTCCACAGCCCTATTTGTGTTTTATTTAAAGACAAGGTCTCACTGAGTTGCTTAGCACCTCACTTTTGCTGAGGCTGGATTTGAACTCACGATCCTCCTGCCTCAGCCTCCCAGATGCTGGGGTTACAGGTGTGCAACACCGTGCCCAGCTAAATTAATTTTTATTAAAAAAAAAGAACCATGTTACATAATTTGGAAAGTATTACCTCAATATCATTTATTGGAATTGCATGTGGATTGGTGTTCTTTCAGAAGCTGTGTACGCATCTGTGTTTCAATCAGGTGTTTCCGGTGGATGTGTGCATATGTGTGCATAAAACATACACAATTATTGACACTCAGCATTGCATGGGTATGTGCTATCACCACACAGTTCTCCTAACATTTTCAAGTGGCTGCATCCTATATATACCACCTCACTATTCCAGCACAGCAAGACATGGAGGTTCCCATATAATTTCCAATTTCATAATCAATGCTATAATGAACACTTCTCCTTGGGGTAGATTCTTCTTCTCTGAGCATTTATCTTTGGTGTGAATTTCTTTTGTTTCCTTTACCCTGAGGATATTAATTGTGGCAAGAGTACTTTAGAATACATGACATACAAAATTTAAAGGCTTCTATGCATCTTAAAAACATAAGCAAAACAGGTGGTTTTTAACTGTTCAGTTTTACAAATTCTCATTCTTCTGAAGTCCTCTTTATTCAGGGCTTTGATGGTTCATAAGGAATATTGATGTCAGAGTAATTTTTTGCTCCAGAATTTTCTTTCAAGCTGCTGAGAACTATTCTATAAACAAAGCAACATAGCTCTTATAATTAATGTACTTCATTCCTAGCATAAGTTAATTGAATTTATAATTCATTAAACATTTATTAAATGATTATATAGCAGAATCACATATCCATATTAAAATTAATTTATAAAAATATAACATTAAATTTTATTTGATTTATTGCATTGATCAACTGTTAAATAAAATTATAGAATAATATTAATATCAACCATATTTCTTAATAATGCTAAAACTTTCCAGTGCGGTGGTGGTGTGTACCTGTCATCCCAGCAGCTCAGGAGGCTGAGGCAGGAGGATCCCAAGTTCAAAGCCAGCCTCAGCAACTTAGCAAGGCCCTGAGCAACTTAGGGAGAATCTGTCTTAAAATAAAAAATAAAAAGGGCTGGGGAGGTGGCTCAGTGGTTGAGTGCCCTTTGGATTCAATCTCTGGTGCCAAATAAATAAATGAATGAAAACGAGTCTTTTTCTAAAGCTCTGTGGTACTAGGTTTGTACCCAATTAAGCAAACATATGCAGGTTACTTTGGGGAATTTTCATATTGTCCTTTGACATAATTTTTCAATTTTGAGACAATAGCTCACTGTCTTAACCACTGTAGACTTATTAATTAGTTTCATGAGACGTCCTCGGGTTTTTTACTTGTTTTTACAAATTGTCTCGAGAACTCTTAGCCCTTTGCATTTTACCATAACTATTTGAATCAATCCTTCAGTTCCTACACAAACCTTTTGTGCTTTATATTAATGTCGAAATTCATCTATGTATTCATGATTGGAGAATTCACATCTTGTTTAAAAATACTGCCCAGCATGGTCATTCATGCCCATAATCCAAGTGGTTTGGGAGGCAGAGGCTGGAGGATCACAAGTTGGAGGCTAGTCTTAGCAACTTAAGGAGGCCCTACGCAACTCAGCAAGACCCCGTATCAAAATAAAAATTACAAAACAAAACAAAACAGGCTAATGTTTTGGTTCAGTGTTTAAGTACTCCTGGATTCAGTCCCCAGTACCAAATAAATAAGTATACAACTGAGGGCTGGGATATAGCTCAGTTGATAGTTTTCCTAGCATGCAAAGGGTCTTGGATTCAATCTCTAGAACCATGACAGAAAAATGATCAAATAATAAAAATACTGAATCTTACAACCTGTAAGCATGGTGGTATATTCCTTTATTCAGATTTTAAATTTTCCTGTCAATCCCGTCTCCTGATATATTATTATAAAGAGACAATAAGACCTTTTATTGTGGTTATTCCAAGAGTGTGTTCATTTTGATCCTGTTATAGATGACATGTGTTTTCTGAGCTTCATTTTGTCATGCTTGCTTTTGGTATTTTATGACTGCATTTTTTATTCATATTCTGACTCTGAATCCAGAAATACTGTTACGTTGATATTCTCCGTATTTATTTCTAACCTTGGATCATTTAAACTATCATTTTCTCAAATCTGTGAATCAATCATTTAAAACATACAGGCGAGAAATTCTGTCTGTATTCATCAGCCAACATCGGGGTGCACAGTGGTATCGAATTTGACATTACAACATATGATATAACCGTTGGGCAATAAGAGACCACATCCAAAAACAAGGAAGTGGCATGGATTTTAAAACCAATGTCCTTGTGGCTTGTGTTTAGCAGCTTGGACATGATAGTTGGGTTGTAAGCTGGAGTGCTAAGTGAGAAAGTCTACTCAACACTGAATTTGTGGGATGGCGTATCATCTTTAACCAAATACTTCTCTCAGCTGATGTTGTCTGTGATTTTAGGCTCCTGGGGGCATAGCTCATTTTTGCTGTGTGGTAACAGAACAGGCACTTGGTGTCGGCCTTCCGGCTCTGGACTTGGGGTTTTTACAGCATAAATAGGAAAAATGAGCTCAGAGAGAAAGGGGACTTCATGCTGCCGTTTTAAGCAGAGGTGCCTAGCAGGGGTCTCCAAATGGTTATATGGGTTGTATGAGAACCAGAAAGTGCCGTCCCACCAAGGTTATGTCCATCTACCACCCTGGGCAAGGACTCTACCACCTACCAGGCACCATTTCCAGGGTCTGAAACACTGCAACCAGAAACAGAAAGTAATCTCTACCTCAATGCAGTTGACTTTCTATAGTGCCCTACCAAACGTATGTCCCCTCTTGCTGCAGCTGTGACCTCTGGTTCCCAGAATGGCTGTTGTCCTCGGGTACCCCAAGATGCACTCTGATTCTCAGAGATGCAATGTCAAGAAACCCAAGGTGCCTGATCATGAGCCTTTCATGAACGTGGGCGTTTGCAATCAACGGGAAATTTTAGCTCCCTTCATTTACGCTGTGGACGGCGAGTTCGACGTCTTTGAGAAACAGATTGAACGCATCTCATGTTTGGGGCATATTGAAAGTAAATTCCCAAATTTAAAAATACTTTTTCGAGGATTTCTACCTGATGCTATTGGTTTGTGGAAGGAAGGAATGGAGTTCAGAAGTAGATTAATTGGGCAGTCACGATAGAATTTTCATGTACAGTTGTACCCTGGTGTCTGCAGGAGATCGGTTCCTAATTCCCTGTGGATATTCACGTGCTTGATATAGAATTATTATATTTGTATATAAATTATACACCTTCTTCGGTATGCTTTATATCATCTCTAAGCAACTTGTAATACCTAATACAATGTAAACACTATGTAAAAACTATTTACATACAACTGTTATACTCTTTTCATTTGTATTACTTTTTACTTTTATGTATTGCTATTTTTTCCCAATATTTCCTATTCATTGTCTGCTTGAACAATGTTGTGTTTAATATTCTGGGTACAGGTCAATCTCTGCACTCAACATCTAAAGTGTGAGCTCTTAAGATCTCAATAACTTGGAAGAGGAAGGTAGAGACATTTTCTGTAAATGACTATTGCGGGAGTGAGGGTCTCCAAACTGATTCTTTTTAGTTCAGCTCAAAAAACATAAACAAGCGTGAGCGTTGCAGTTTGCCTTTTATTTTTTATTTTATGCAGTTATCTATGTTTTGTGGTGTTGGCCTATGAAACCAGGACCTCCCACGTCCTAGGCAAGTCCTCTACCACTGAGCTTCAAAGGCTGACCCTGGTTTGTCTTTTTAAAAGAAATCTCCTCAAATTGGCCTCTTGGAGCACCGTTTGAAATCATGGAGGAGGCTGGGCATGGTGGCACACACCTATCATCCCAGTGACTCAGGAGGCTGAGGCAGGAGGACCACAAGTTCAAGGCCAGCCTCAGCCTCAGCCACTTAGCAGGCCCCTAAGCAGCTTAGCAAGACCCTATCTCAAAACTGAAAATTAAAAAGGGCTGGGAATGTGGCTCAGTGGTTAAGCACCCCTGGATTCAATCCTCAGTACCCAAATTAAAATTCTTTAAAAAATTAAAAATAAAATTATTGAGGACATTTAAAATCTGAGCTTATTTAGCATTTCCTGTTCCTAGATTGCTTTTACCTCCCTAGTGCAATGTGGTGTCCTCGAGCTCACTGTTTTTCTTTCCTGTGTTAGATTATGAGTGAGTGAGCACTCATTTGCTTGTCATTTGATAAATGTTTGCTGAGTATATCCCTATCTTGTAAGGTGCTCATGTTTGAGCACCCAAAAGTGACACCCAGTGGGTGCCATCTTGGAGTTCATGCAGCTGTAGCCAAATGGGGTCTCAGGATGAGTCCAACAGTCCCAGGAACAAACCACCCGACAACCAGAGGGGACGCTACATGAGAGGGCCCTGCCTAGGCAGCCGTGAATGTCACGAGGTGAGACCTGGAAGGCCGGGTGGCCTACCATGTCTCTTCTGAAGTCAAAGGAAAGCCATTCAGTCACTTAAAGATGGAGGAAGGTCACCATAACCCTCCGGAAACTCGAGAAGACATGAAGACTCATTCTCCCCTGGAGCCTCCGGAGGAGCACAGCCATCCAGCACCTTGATTTGAGCCCAGAGGAAGCCCTTCCAGCCGTCCATCTGCCCAAGAAAACCCGTCCCTGGTGTTCGAAGCAACCACAGGTGGCGTCTGTCTGGCCACAGGGGCTTCGCACATTGCTGGTCTTCAAACACCTGCCCAGCCCCTGGCCCTGCCCTTGTTTGCATCCTTAGTTACAGAGAAAGGGCAGAGGCTCAGTGAGTTTGGGGGACGAGTTTCCCGACACCCATGTTGTGCTCAAGGTTACCTCCTGCACCCCGAGTGCAGTGTGGGTGATTTAGGGGCAGAGATCAAGTGTGCAGAGTTGGGGACACTGAGTGTGGGTGTCCCCATTCCTTGCTCCAGTGTGAGCCACCATATGTAAAGTGCTAGCCTGTGGTCAATATGCCCTACCACCCCAGTGTCTGTAATTATCTGTAGACCTATGATCTTCTAACTGAACATACATCTTTTTGTTGTTGTTGTTTTGGTACCAGGGATTGAACCCAGGGGTACTTAACCACTGAGCCTCATCCCCAACCCTTTTTTATATTTTATTCAGAGATAGCATCTTGCTGAGTTGCGGAGGCTGGCTTTGAACTCATGATCCTCCTGCCTCAGCCTTCCAAGCTGCCTAACATGTATTTTACTGGTGTATTTTGTTCATTATTATTAGCCTAGTTCCATCCATTTGCAGGATGCAGGAGAGCGGCCCTTTCTATGTGGTCCATTACTCATGGATTGACTTCATCCTTACGTATAATGCAGAATTCTTCTTTTTTTTTTAAAGGGGCCTTGATGTCTGCCATGTAAGCATGAGAGCCCCTTCGTAAGCCATTTCCTTTTGAACTCAATGTCACGGGTGCCCACTTTATATCTGTTTATTCTCTCTTATTTCAATAGCTTCTTGTCTGCTTCCAAGTTGCTCAAAACCAGTTCCCACCAGATCAACCCAACTTCTTCAAAGAGATTCCTTCCCATCTGAAAACCCTCAGCAAACGCTTGGCGTGAATGTTCCAGATGAGAGGTTAATCAGGGGCAGAGCCTGGCCTTTCACACCCCGGGGCACATTGGGGTGACTAATAATGTTGCACTGAGTCATTGCTGTATTTCTCTGCCGTGCTTAAATTTCAACACAGGTTTATTCTCCATATTCACTAAATAATCAGGATTTCTACTGAATCTGCATACCGCCTTTGACTATGCATTTTTTTATGCGTGCCTGTAGAATTTTATTTTCTGTCTTCCTGCTCTCTCAGTTTTTTTTTGGGGGGGTGGGTACTGAAGATTGAACTCAGGGGCACTCGACCACTGAGCCCCATCCCCAGCCCTATTTTGTATTTTATTTAGAGACAGGGTCTCCCTGAGTTGCTTAGGGCCTCACTTTGGCGGAGGCTGGCTTTGAACTCCTGATCCTCCTGCCTCAGCCTCCCGAGCTGCTGGGATTACAGGCGTGTGCCACTGCGCCGGGCTCTGTTCTCTCAGTTTTAAGAACATCAGGCTACATGGTACTCTAGCTTGGACCTAGAATGTCCCTCAGGGCCCATGTGTTGAAGATTTGGTCCCTAACTTGGCTGGGAGGTGACGGAGCCTTTGTAAGAGGTGGAGCCTAGTGGAAGGTCTTTTGGTTGTTGGGGACATGTCTCCAAGGAATCTGAGGGACCTTGGCCTCTTCCTCTTCTTCTCTTTTCACTCCCTGACCATGCGGGGAGCAGGTTGGCTCAGCCTGTTGTCCCCACCATGGTGAGCTGCTTTCTTGGACGCTTGAAAGCAATGTGTCTGCCCAAGAGTGATCATAAACCTTTTCTCTCTATAAGTTGATTCTGTCAGGTATTTGTGACAGTCATGGCATGCTGACTCACACATGTGGAACGTGACTACCAGGCTGTTTCTTTTGTGTTTTTTGACACCACAGATCCCAGCATCAATAGATACCATGTGCAGTGGTTTCCAGAGGTGTGTGCTCACAACAAAACGGCCGGATCGGAGACATCATCTGCTGTGACCCACGTAAGGAGGCGACTGTACTCGTTGGCTCTGTGTAGTTTGGGGATGCATTTGGTTTGTGCATGTAACAGTCAGAGGGCTGTGCAAACCACATTCGTGCCACGGATAACTCATTCTCACCAACTGCTATTACATAATGACCTGCGGGCAGCTGGAATACCCAAGATGGTGTCCACTCCACCTTTATCCATTTATACCACTGCCTTGAGACCTTCTGTGGCCAGCACAGTGCTTACAGAGTCCCTAGGACAGTGGAAGACTTTTTCCGAGTATCTGTCTCCTTTATTTTAACTGCATAAAATGTCTGGATTATTATTATTATTATTATTATTATTATTATTATTATTATTATTTGTATCAGGAATTGAACTCAGGGGCCCTTGACCACTGAGTCCCGTCCCCAGCCCTATTTTGTACTTTATTTAGAGACAGGGTCTCCCTGAGTTGCTTAGCGCCTCACTTTTGCTGAGGCTGGCTTTGAACTCACGATCCTCCTGCCTCAGCCTCCCAAGGATTTATTATTTATTGCTCTGTGTCTCTTTCTCTTGTTCCAGGAAAATTACATCATTCTTCAGGACCTGTCCTTTTCCTGCAAATATAAGGTGAGCGTCCAACCTATCCGGCCAAAGAGCCACTCGAAGGCAGAGACCATATTCTTCTCTACCCCGCCATGCTCGGCTCTGAAGGGGAAAAGCCACAAGCACGTTAATTGTCCCGGTGACACAGGTAGGAAGAACTCGTTGCCCGTCCAGGTCCCTGGTGGTCAGTGACCCTTTGAAAATGTTCCTCCTTGCAGACCGGCTGCCTGCAGTTGCTATGAGTTTGTTTTTCTGTATGAGAAACCCACCCACCAGCCCCTGGGGACGCTCTCTGCAGGAGCCTGACCGTGACCTCCTCACTTTGCATTCCCACAGGTCCCGTTTTGTCCAAAGTCCTGGCCAAGCCAGAGAACCTTTCTGCCTCCTTCGTCGTCCAAGACGTCAACATCACTGGCCACTTTTCCTGGAAGATGACCAAAGCCAACCTCTACCAGCCCATGACTGGGTTTCAAGTGACGTGGGTGGAGGTCACCACGGAGAGCAGGCAGAACAGTTTGCCCAACAGCATTATCTCACAGTCCCAGATACTGCCTTCAGTAGGTGTCCCTTGGTTCCCCAGACCCCCGATGTTGGTATCCGAGGCTCAGTTCCCATGGCCGTCCGAGTAGCTTAGGTGGGTCGTGCTGCCCGCCGTGACCTGGACTCCCGTTTCTGCACCTGTCCCCTGAGCGCATCATTTTGTGAGCACTAGACCTCGTCACAAGGATCCCAGTTGAGAACTGGGGCTGGGGTTGTCGCTCAGCGGGAGAGCACTTGTCTGGCCCGTGGGAGGTTCCAGCCCCAGTATCACATAAAAATAAATCAATAAAAATTATTGTGTCCATCTACCACTAAAAAAAAATATTTAAAGAAAGAGTTAAGAACTGGAAGATGCTGTCGTCACCGACTCTCTGGTAGGGCCAGCTTCCACAGGCCTTATCCCACCTCTATCAAAAGCAAACCCAGCCATTTCCTTCCATCTTTGGTAACCCCGTGTCCCTCTGGTCCAAGTGGACATGCCCTGTTTGAAGTGCTGAACTGGGGGGAAAAGTAGCTCAAAGAAGTTTGTTGTTTGTCTTTCCTTCCCCCATTCAAATTTGGCGACAGCCCCTAATTAGTTGGACACTCTTCCAAGCCACTTAATTCCTTGGCTTGGGAAGAAAAAAAAAAAATCATGTGTGGGCTTTTTTTCTTTTTCCACCCTGTCTGAAAACCTTCTTAGAATATCCAAATCTTGCTCCAAAATTCAAAAGACAATCCGAAACAAAAACACCTTAAAAATCCCGGGAGGAGAGGTTCCGTGGAAACGGGAAAGTCGTTATTTTATGAATGTCCACTGTTGGACTCGGTTATGGGCATTGACAGGTGGATTGTGTGGTCAGGAGACTCGTTGGCTCCCTCACCGACATTTGGATCATCAAGAATTCACATCACAAGATGAGCCGCTGAGAACCTTACTCCATGGGAAAGTCTCATGTGAAGGAATCGGGGGGGGGGGATGGGAGGGCTGAGAACTGGCATCTGGGCACACTTGAACTCTGCCCAGGGTCTCGGGCGGCCAGACATTGAGGCAGGTGCTAAGAAACCACATAGAGAAGTCCAGAAAATTAGGAGAAGCCTTGTCCAGGCTGAACTGTGGCTTTCAGAAGCCAGCCAACATGCATGTCTATGACACTCTGCTCCCCACAGACTGTGTCCCCCCCCCCCGCCCCGCACATGCAGCTGCCGCTAGAAGGTCACTGATGAGCCTCTGTGGCATGTCACTCTGCAGGACCATCACGTGCTAACGGTGCCCAACCTGAGGCCATCCACCCTTTACCGGCTGGAAGTTCAAGTGCTCACCACCGGAGGAGAAGGGCCCGCCACCATCAAGACCTTCCGCACCCCAGGCCTGCCGCCCTCAGCTGCCCACAGTGAGTAGACTCGGGGGGGCCAGGTGCCCGGGCAGGCCTTGCGGGCGCAGGGAAAGATCTTGGTGAAAAGTGAGGACAAGGCATTGGTTAGTATGCATGTCTGGGAAGCAGGAATTCTCCTTATCTGGAACAAGATGGTCCCTGCCTGTATCTATTTACTGGATTTGCTTTAGTGAAAAGTATGTGGAGGGTGCTTACTGCATGCCTGTTGGACTCAGGATCCTCCTGCCTCAGCCTCCTGAGCCGCAGGGAAGTCAGGTGTGTGCCACCTCACCAGGAAAAATCAAGATTTTCATGTATTAAAACACAAGAACTGATTTTTGTGAAGATGCTCATTTTTTTTATTAGAGATTTTACGATTATATATGGCAGGAGTTTTACTATAGTACACCCACTGTATCTACTCTATTTAGAGCCAAATTAAGTAAAATTGATGAAAGATATGTTCACTTACTCTTCCCAAATGAATAGCCTCTTGATGATGTTTATATCATGGAGTTCATTAAAGTTTTTATTGCTTAAATTCAAAAGCCAATTCTTAAAGATTTGTGAGATTTGTGTATGGATAAGAAAATTGAGATTAATCTAATTTTTTTTTTTTTTTGGTACTGGAAATTGAACCAGGAGCGCTAAACCACTGAGCCACTTTGGCAGCTCTTTCTATTTTTTATCTAAAGACAGGGTCTCGCTAAGCTGCTTAGGGTCTCTCTAAGTTGCTGAGCCTGCCTTTGAACTTGAACTCTGATTTTTTGAAACAGTGGATACCATTTGCATCTACAACCTGGTTTGCTTTGTGGTTTGCAGAAAAACAAAAACTGTCTCAATGAGAGAGTTTGCAAGCCCTGTCTTTGCATTTATAACAGTTAAATAAAATGTTTTTCTCCAAATCTCCTTTGAAATTCTGTTTACCGACGTCATTTGTTCATTTTTAAAATGGTGTTTTGAGGAAATAATAAAGAAGATTATGATTTGCATGAAGGATTAGGAGCTTCTCTCTTGGTCATTTTACGGTTTGGGGGTAGGCACAAGGAAAGACGGAGGGGAAATTGGGGCAAGACAGAGAAGAGAAAGGATGAACGTGTGTCTGGGCCCTCAGGGTTGCAATAGGAAAGATTCCCCACAGAGGCAGCCAGCGCTAGCTGCAGTCCACAGCCATCCTGAGGAGTCCATGGGTTTGCACTATTATTCACTATGTATGGGGCCATGTGACTGAGAGGTTTTGTCACTTCTAGGACCCCACCTGAAACACCATCACCTGCATCATTACAAGCCTTCTCCAGAAAGGTACTGAACTGCTCCAAGGCTTGGAGGGACCGGGGACACGGCCACGTCCCCCGCCCACCGCCCCCAAAGAAGCGGCAGGTACTTCTGAGAGACCTTCCTCTCCTGGGCACTTCTGGGCACCTCTGCTAGTCCCAGCTGCTCCTGGAACATCGCAGTCAGTCACCAGGACGGACAAGAGTTCCCTCCGAAAACAAGACCAAGACCAGGTCCAGTCAACCCTGAATTTCAGTTTTGTCTGCGGTTTTGCTCATCTCGATTGACTATTTGCAGAATTGAGATCTCCCTGAATTTGGAACAGCAAAATATCCAAGCTGAGGATTGGAACCCAGGACCCAGTTCACATGCATATCCCACATACCTTGAATCCACAGATCAGACTTGATTAAATTATTGTTTTGATTTACAAGCCTTTGGGCCTGACTTCTCCAATCTTTCATAAGAGCCCTTTTATCATGGATGGGTGGTTTTTAACTCACAGACTTTGCAGTCTGAATTATACTCCTAAATTTAAATCTAAAAATGGTCCCACATTAAGCATATTAGGTTTCCTTTTACACAAAGAATACTGAAGATCCAGTCTGTAACTTATTATTAACAAGACACCGCAAAGCAGAGGAACTGAATGAATTAAGATGCTTCCTAGATTTTTTTTGCCTTGGAACAATGAAAATTCTTGTTCGAGGATACCTTTTAGTAGTTCGCCCAATGTGGGAGATTTTCCTGATGTGTTAACTTATTTATTTTGTTAGTGCAGAAAACAACCATTATTTGCTTTGTTTCACTGTCAAGAAATTCAAAAACGTCTTGCTTCAAATGAAAAGATCTGAACTCGTGAGCATTTTTAAAAGACCTTTACCGAGTTTTGTCTTTTCTGAATCTAAGGAAGCTAATTTGCACGTGAGAATATTCTCAATGAAGTAAAAGATAGATAAATAAATAAAAAGTCTTTGATTGATTAGAACAAAAGGATGATTATTTCCCTTTTACTAACCTTTACTTTTTCAAATCTATTAAATCTTTTTGATTGGAAAATTTATTCTATTCTAGACCGTCCCCGAGTACAATGAACTCAAGTCAAGATACGTCATCAGGATAATGGTGGTGCAGAGTTTGGGCGGGGGGGGGAGGAGGCAACCTGAAACACAGAACTATTTGAGTTGAGGGAACACCCACATACGTGGTTTAAAATATGCATAGATGTGCGTCTATACAGCACCAGTGTGTGTGTGTGTGTGTGCTCATCTATGTCTGTACATATATCCATGTGAAGATGTACTCCTATCCGAAATTACCCAGGTACTTACACCTACAGGAAAATAACCAGAGCATGCATTCGCTATTGGACAGCCCGGCAGTGGTGGGAGAGACTGTGTTCTCTAAAGATCATAAATGGATAATAGATGATTTATTTCCCCCATCCATGTGGATTCTATAAGAAAAAAGGAATTTTTTCTACATCATACAGGGCTCCCTCATTTGATAGTCTCTCTGAATACAACAGCAAGCCGGTAAGGTTGCCCTTAGTTTTGGGGAAGGACTTGCCCCTGGTCCTTTTGCCGTGTCTTGGGTGTGTGCCAACACCAGACACTCCAGGTGCCATGGCCCGCTCGGAGCTCACTGTGTCTGTGATGTCACAGTGCTGTCCAAGGCAGGGGACAGCAATGTGGAGAACATCCCTCTTATTATTATGTGGGTGGGGTAGAGATGGAGGCCACCGTCTCTGAACCTGGATACCTAATGGTAGATTTTGACACCGTTGCCTGTGTGTTCAAGGATTTAAAAAGTGGAGAATGTAGGAATGCTCTGCCTCTGTGTGTAAGCAACGGGAAACAGGTGTACATTCTACCTTGTGTTATGAAATCACCTGATTCTAAAAAAAAGCAGAGACCAGGAAACAGCCTTTGTTTAAAAGCACCCCGAGCTTAGACAAAACCATAGCTGTCCCCAACTATGATGAATTCTAGGGTCATTACCAGCATCTGATTTTCAATTTCTTAAAATTTCAAAAACACTGAAACCATTAACGATTGGCTACGTGCATGTCTTTTACCTAAATCTGTCACAAAACAAGTCAAAATATTTATGCCAGCAGAGTTTTGTACTTTTGTATAGTTAAAAATGCAGGAGTATATACATAGATACAAAAATATTATTAAATTATTATGTAAATTTAATGTTATAAAATTTAATCGTGTTTCTTTTGTCTGGGGAGAAGACCTCGAGCAAATATATTTCCAGTTCAGATGATGAATCTGAAACTGACATCATCCTTAAGAAATCCAAAACAGCTTTTATGAGTGTCTAATTTTGTTATGGTATTCAGAAATTTAAATTTTATTAGTGTTACTAGAAGGAAAACACTATTAATGAAGTAGTAAAAGAAGTATGTTTCTTTTTTGAATTTTAGTGATCCCCAGTAATAATCAAATCATCAAAAATCGTTAAATTTTTTTTGAATTTTAGAAATGTGAGTGCCCTAATAAAAGTGACAGAAATCTATTCGTTTTTTTCAAAATAAGAAACCATTTTAGTTCATCAGTTTTGAATGTGCTTTATTGAAATTAGATGCATTTCTCTCCAATGAGAAAAGTAGATCCAATGATTAAAAAATCGAGTTCATCAATAATATCCCCACCAGATAGAGATGGTTAATTCGATATATCCAACAGCCATCTACATTATTTTCACTTATAAGATTTACTCCTTAGTGATGAATTTTTCTGTGCTGACACCTTTTTCTAAGTGGAATTTCATGGAAAGGATTTTTACAAACTAGCATGTGTCCATTAAATACTTGTTACGGCATATGACATATTAAAGTTTATGACAGGTATTTTTGAAATGTTTATTAAGTAATACGTTCAGATTAAAAACACACCCAAATCCTGGAAATACCCTGCTCCCCGACACCCACATGAACTGACTCAATCAGGATTTCTCAAATGTAGCACTTTTAAATTGGGCCTGCAGAGGTCTTTGGTGTAGGGGGCTATGCATTGCAGGGTGTTTACCTGTCCCCGGGGGCACGAGAAGACCCCATTGAGAACTGGTGATCTTTACTGAGAATTTGCCCTTTATAAGAAAAGCCCCAATGTATCAGCAAATGCCACGTACAATACTTATTTATATCCTTTATTACACTGTGTCCACGGTTTTTCAAATTTACACATCCCCATAATTGCAAATAACTCTAAATCTTATTAAAAGAAGATTTACACCATACCCAGAGCACCAAGGCTAAGTATCTGCATGTATCTGAAACTTCATCTTGAAATATAAAGGAATCCATGAAGATGTGCACTCTCACCTATGATTTTGCATGACCACAGTCGGTTTCCTGTAAGGCATGGACCCTCCTGACTGTCTTACCGCTGCTGAATATTTTAGCAACTTATACAATTTATAGAGTGATTAACTGAGTTCTGTATAAAGTTATTATTTTTTTCCTCTTCTTTAATTATATTGTAGTTTGCAGATAACAGAGCTGTTACCCTCTCACCCAAAAGGTCTGTAGAAGTCATGTCACTTCTCGCGGTCACTGAAAGTCAGTATTTATTTATGTGTGTAATAAAAAACAGTTGGATTTCTGTGTATGTCTGTCATGTTATTTAGAGAGAAGTAATCTTGTAAAAAACGTTTTGTAAAGAAAAAACAAGAAAGTATTGTACATAGCCTGATATTCCACGACTCGTTATTTTCCTGTTAGAGTTTGTACATACTGATTCAGTAATAAAGCATCTTTAAACCTGTCTGGGGATTTGATCCATTCATTTCTTAAAGGAATCTCTCTCTCTCTCTCTCTCTCTCTCTCTCTCTCTCTCTCTCTCTCTCTCTCTCTCTCTCTCCTGCCCTTCTCTCTTGTCTTTAATTTAAGAAGAAAAATCACTAGTGTCCTATGAGAGTTTCAAAATATCTAAGTCTCCCTGAAAGTATGAATGGAATTGGGGGTCTGCTCAGTGTGAACAGGACAGAACTTCAGTTTAACGAGAATATTTTGGAGTTTGACAATCAACACTTCAGGGTCTTTTCATCGTATTGAAAATTGCAACTCCTAATAGCTCTGGTGGCATTTTTTTTAATCTGTAGTAAAACTGCAGTCTACAGTTTTAAGTTGCTTTTCCCTGCCTGGATGTATCCGGAAAATTGAGGATGTATGCGGTACTCATAGCACATATTCAAATGTCTCTTTTTACTACTCGATAAAATATTGAAGGCCTAAAATCTCCCCTACCTAAGTACAGCTTTATGAAGTTTGTAGCACCACCACCGGGAATTCAGGTGCGGAAGGCTACATAGGACAAGAATAGGTGTAGGGGAAGGATGCAGGATGGTCAATCCAGAGGAGGAGAAAGTACACTGGGCGACGTCTGGTTGTGGGGAGAGGGCAGGGGATGGGACTGGCTCATGGGTATGGGGCTTCCTTTTCTGGTTGATGGAAATGTTTTGGAACCAACAGGAGCCGTGGTGGTAAACCATTGAAAATGTACGAAATACCACTGAATTGTGCTTCTCGTAAAGGTTCATTTCACATTGTGTGAAGCTCACCTCCGTTCAAAGGTGATGTTAGTAAATACCACCTAATTCCCCAATGCCAACATAGGTGGAGGGTGTATTCGGTATTAATATACATTCTGTTTAGTAACTCGTAGATAGTATACATACATTATAAGATTATAATATAAGACATTATTTTATAAGATTATTATACGTTGTAGAATGTTTACTGATTTGTGATTGATGGACCTTGTTGTTAAAGGAAAAGTAGATTTAGGGGTGACAGAACTGAAATTTGAAAAATAGGAATTGGGACACAGGGTGTGTACCCATTTCTTCTCTACCTTGAACTTTTTTGGGGGAATTATTATTATTATTATTATTATTATTATTATTATTATTATACTGAGGATTGAGCCCACAGTGCTTTACCACTGAGCCACATCCCCAGCCCGTTTTTGCTTTTTTTAAATTTTGAAGCAAAGTCTCACTAAGTGGCTTAGGTCCTCACTAAACTGCTGAGGCTGGCCTCAAACTTGTGAGCCTCCTTACTCAGCCTCTGGATTTGCTGGGATTATAGGCATGTGCCACCACGCCTGGCTGAATCATGAGATTATTCCTCTAAACCCTTCATCGAGTTTCCCGTAATGTGATATCTTCCAAAATTATAGCACAATATCACAACCAGGAAATTGATGCTGATACACACCATATATCATACGCACGCAGGCTAAGGTGTACATGTGAGGTTTTGTGGGTATTTAATTCTTTGCAAGTTTTATCGCATGTGTACAAGCCAATGTGTTTTAAGCAGATGAACATCTAAAACACATCCAATTCCCTAAGTAAATTAGCTAAGGAAATATTGTCTTTTTTCACATTCCTCTAAAGCAGTATGTAATTTACTTTATATGAATTTTAACTTTAACACGGTAGAAACGATCAACTCAATGTGTATTTGATTTTATCTTGAATTTCAATCAATGGATTGCTTTCAAAAAAATGGCTGAGTGCTTAACAAGTCTGTCTAGAAAAAAAAAATCTATGCATCCAATGAAACTAAATTTATGGGCAAGTAAAATGTATAGATTTGAAAAAAAAAAATCATTTCCCAGAGAGGAATTGGGTTGCATATTGACGGTCTAGAGTGGATCTGAAGAAATAGAAGGACATTGAAATTCACTATTGTTTAGAAAACTAAACGTCGCCTAGAGTAGGAAACAGAATCAAGTTTCAGATTAACGTGAAGTTTAAAGGTTGAGTTTGGAACAATCGGCTCTGATGATTAGCGTGACCCTCACCCTGGGTCAGAGGCTGTCACAACCGGCTGCCTATGAGAACCCTCAAGGGGGTTTTTAAGGAGAGACCAGTGTCCTCCGGCACCCTCAGGTCAGGAGTGAACCGCGCACATCAATGCCATTTTAAAATGTCCCCGGATGATTCTAATATGTGCCCAGAGCTGCAGACCACTCCTCAGACCTTGAGGAGGTACAGAATGACCAGTGTTAGCTATGTCCCTACTTGCTGAACTGAAGACGCAAAAAAAAAAAGTCATATTGAAGCTTCACATTTTCATTGCACTGGGGCTGCCTTTCCCCCGGTTTATTTTCTGGATTAAATTATACATAATAGTGCAGATAAAGATATGAGCATATAAGCAAATAAGTACACATAGGTACAGGGATAGATAGCATGGGCACCGTTCAAACTTGCTTTGGGTGCAAAAGAGAATTTTATTGTGGGGAATACTGATGAAGTATGGGGTCAGGCAAATACAACTGTGGTTCTTTCTAGAACGTTAGCAGAAATTATTGCTCTTTTCCTCGCCTTTTGAAATAGCCTTCCAAAGGCAGCTGGTTGTGATTTAAGGGCAGTCAAAGACGGCCAATTAGAATTGATCAGTTATTGTGCAGAGCGCCAGAGCATCCTGCAATCCAAAGCAGATCCTGACTTGACCTTTTCACCCTCAATATCTCCTTCCTCATCTCACACAGCAGCCAATCCGATGCAATGGATTTCATTCCAAATAATGCAAAACATCCCTCACGACTTTCTGGAAGGGTCCACCTCAGCTGAGCTGCTGGGTGCAGCGAAAGACCATCCTTGAGGTTTGTTAGAATTTACTGGAGAGGCTACTGGTAGCATTAGCCTCCAGACTCGCATTTACCGAGGACTGGCTCCTTCTAAGGTAGTGTGTTATTTTGTCTTCCTTTGCTTATTTCTTCAAACGCCCTGTGGGGCTGACAATGTGTTAAAGTTAAGGACGGTGAGGCTTGTTGAGGTCAACTGCCCGAGGTCAGGTGGCTAGTGATTGGCAGGATCTGCAAACGAGCGTGCACCCCCTAGCTCCACTGTTCTTCAGTACACCGCCAAAGCCTTCCTCCTGCCAGCCTGCTGTCTCCAAACTCAAGTCACAAAGATGAACTTGCACCCAGACTGTCATAAATAAGCACACAGATACATTTGCGTAAGTATGTATGCAAGCAGGAAATACTACGCATATACGTACGGAATGCTACGTATATATGCAGAAAATACCATGCACACGTATGCATGGAAAACTATATTTTGAAAATTATAAATATGAAACACTTTGTATATATACGTGAATACTATGCATATATGCATAGAATACTATGTATCTGAGTCTCTAGTGCAATACATCTATGTGACACTAAGCTATTATCTATGTATAGATGGAGAGGAAGTTGAATGTCAATGTAACTTGATATATTGGAAGCAGCTTATTATTTGTTCTGGGTTGTTCTTTGTTTTTGAATCAACCCCTGAGTCCCTCAGAATCTTGATGGTGCAGGCTTTGATGTGATGTTCCGATTGGTTCAACCACGCAGCTGCCATATGAGGTTTTCCAAACTCTTGGTGCAGAATGAAAGACTTGCAATTGAGCCACAGCATAGCTTCCCTGCCGCACTTCGTGGGCTGGACCCCTGGCGTGGACACTGATAGGTAGCGCACAACCTTTACCATTTTTATGCACACTATTGCTATGGTTTCTCCACCCTCCCTTACCTCTCTAATAGGACAAAACTGCCTTTGCTTTTATTGTTGTGCACAGAGAGAGATCCCTCCATTTTCAGGGTCTGAGTAAATCTGGGAGACTTTAGGATGCACCTTTTAAGGATTTACCAAGGACTTCCCAACAACTGCTACATTTATATGGTTTAGTTTATGATTCAGCACCCTGGGGTCTGCAAGGATTTGATTGCTGCAGGTCAAAAAAAGAGTCAACTGCATGGTGAATTGGAAAGTCTAGGATGGAGATCTTAAGAAAAAAGAAATAACTAAATAGAAATCCTTTTGGCAGGTTTGATACGACTATTGGGATAAAATTAAAATGATGAGGTTGGTAGATTTGATTTAACCCAATATTTTTGAGTCCCGAATAACTGCCAAGTCAGATCACACTACAAATCGAGGACGCACTTTGGAGGTATACACACACACACACACACACACACACACATACATTTTGGTACCGGGGAATTGAACCCAGAGGTACTTAACCACTGAGCCCCATCCCCACCCCTTTTTAATATTTTATTTAGAGACAGGGTCTCGCCGAGTTGCTTAGTGCCTTGCTAAGTTGTGGAGGCTGTCTTTGAACTCACGACCCTCCTGCCTCAGCCTCCCAAGCTGCTGGGATTACAGGCGTGTGCCACCGCTCCCTGGCTGGAGGTATATTTCATGGGCAAATGTTACCCAAAATCCTGTGTTCATGCATTGTACAGAAGCTAGTGGCTGCGGACTGAACTGTGTCAAATGTTTGCTATAAATATCAACAAAGCATTATTTTCCCTAATGTGTGAACGTTAGCTGATGGAATAGATGGAAGACACCAGATGTTTTTGTCCATGTGAGAATAATTTAATGTTTTTCTTTTCTTCTTTTCCTATATGAACTGCACCCAATGATTTAGGATTTCCTGCAGTCATTTCCAGGACTGAACTCCCAGGGGGAGCCATGCTAAGGGTGACAGCTGGCTAAAGACGCCCAGCGTTTCCAGGTCATCGGTGCAAAATGTTCTTCACTGTCCTGGTCACCTGCAACCCCGTCTTCCCCTCAGATGGCCGGCTGTGACTTCGATGCCAAGCTGGAGAGAAGCGGCCAGGGAGCTGGTGACCGCCCCCCTTACGTCATTCTCCCAGAGACTTGCCCTGGGCATCTCCGAGTGGCTCCCGAGATGTGCCCACAGCCCAATTCTGCCACCTGCCAGCAGGACTGACCCTCTCCATAG